TTGCTCTCTACAACTACCTGAAAGGAGGCTGTAGCGAGGTGGGGGTCGGTCTCTTCTGCCTAGTAACAAGTGATAGGACGAGAGGCAACGGCCTCAAGCTGCGCCAGGAGAGGTTTAGGTTAGATATTAGGAAAAACTTCTTCACCAAAAGATTAGTCAGGCACTGGAACAGGCTGCCCAGGGAAGTGGTTGAGTCCCCAGGTATTTAAGGCATGTAGATGTGGTGCTTGAGGACATGGTTTAGTGGTGGACTTGGCAGTGCTAGGTTAATGGTTGGACTTGATGATCTTCAAGGTCCTTTCCAACCTAAACCATTCTATGATTCTATGGACCTCTGCTCTCAATCATTATCTTTTATGACGCCTAAAATTTCAACCATGGATTCTTTCATTCTTGCCATAAGATCAAATCACTCAGATAACCCAAAAGGCCTAATAGATTATGTACTTCTGACAAAAACCAAAAAGTTGAAACCATTTGGATTTTGAAAAGAAAAGAATTTTAAGGAATTTATTTTTAACATTGAGTTCTTCCATAATGATAACGTACAGACCAGATTAATAACTTCACTTCTGTCCCCCAGAGGCTTGCTGCAATCAGAAACAGGTGAGGCAGAATTTGGGTGACTAGTAAGTCAGCAGGGTGTATTTTGTTCATAGATATGTTTCTTGTCAGGTGTTTCTGACAGGCACCTCAGGTGATGTGACCAAATTAATTTATTTGTAATAGAGAAGGTTAAATAAGAGGAGAAGTTATCCTGAAGTATTATTCATTTTCTGCATCTTATTTACTCAATGCTATGCTTGGCAGGTTAAAACAAATATTTTTAGTTCTACACATAATACAGATTCTTTTTATGCCCCTGCATTTACATTATGAATATATAAACTTTTACTCTTTGGAACAGTGCAGTTTTGAGCTTAAAGAACTTTTCCACTATTGGACAAAACTGTTACTCAATGAACTCCACTGGTTTACGCATGGCTAAGTATCTTCTTTACACTCTTTTCAATAAAAGTATGGTTCAAAGGCAAAGTGGAACTAGAAAACTGGGAATAAAATTCCAGTATGAAGTTGTTTAAAGAAGGTATCAGGAAAATACTTTATTTCCAATACCTTTCCCATATGGAAATAGGACTTCACCCCATGTTACTTAATTCCCTTGATTATTCTCAAGTTATCTGTTGTAATCAACCACTGTTTCACTAGCTGGTTAGCTCCTGGTTTATTTTTCTCAGCAATAATGTGTAAGAGTGAAGCAGAGAGAAGTAAGTGTTAATAAGAAATAAAGTTAAATGAGACAAACATCATTACCAAAAAAATCAGGTACCATTGCAAAATTACATGCAAAATATTATCTTTTTTCTAAACAAAGAAATATTGTCAATTTCTTTCAGGTTCAGCTATTTTTATTTCAACAGGTCATTAGAATCTAAATTTAACTTACATGCTAACAACTGATTAAAGAAAAATCAAATTTTGTAATTTACAATACAGGATAAGAAATAGGTTCTACCACAGCAATTATTATTAGGAAATAGCAGTAATCTAAGCTGAGTAAGTGACAGCCCAGAAGCTACTCTCAACACCATAATGAAAGAGAAATTGAAGATTATGCTATCTAGAAGAAGAGACAGATAACAAAATGGATTATCTACACACAGTCCTCTTTCATATCATAACACTACTGATCTGATCTGCCAAAAACACTGACTGCAGACAGACAGAGGTAGTAGTTAAGTGCCATAAAGCAGCAATCACCTGGAATATGCTCAAATAACTGATCTTCTAAAAATAAAAATCCACTACTGAAGACAGACTAACTGTCAGCAGAAAAAAAACCTAAAACAATGATCAGGTTTCAGCTTTATAGAGGAAGACAGCATGAACTTCAAACAAAATTGAATTACACACAACAGAAGTAAATAACTTAAGTCAGTTTTAAAATGACTGGACAACAAAACACCTTTAAAAAATGTGTAATACACCTCCGTTTGTTCCAGGTTTTGCAGATTACCTGTCTTACATGTACCCACTGACAGGAAGTTCTGTCAGCAGCAAGCACGTAAGAAAAGGGAAGCAAAAAGGGAGGCCATCTAGAACACCCAAACTACTCCCCAAGTTAATTTTCAAGAAAGGGACACTAATGAAGAGTAAAAATTAATAGAAAAGGGCCATTGTGGAATAGTGGGCTGGAGTTTAGCTGCAACCATCAGATCTTATCTTCGAAGATATTAGTCTGATTCTGCCAGCTTTAAAAAAAAAAAAAAAAGAGAGAGAGAGGGGGGAAAAGAGGGAGACGAGGGAGAAAATAGAAAGAAGAGAGAAAAGAGAGAAAACAGAAAAAGAGAGACAATAGAGAGAAAAGAGAGGGGAAAAAAGAGAGGGGAAAAAAGAGAGGGGAAAAAAGAGGAAGCTGCAAAGGAAGAGGAATAATTAGTGGTTTTGGCTAATAAAGCTAAAACTATTTTTGCAAGTTTTAAAAGGTACAGACAAGAATGATGACCAATTTTTTTCCTGTACCTACCCCTCCCTCCAACTGAATAGATTAGGAAAAAGTGGTTTCTTCTGCTTTTTCTAACTCAGGAATACACTCTGCAATTGAGAATAGCCAGTTTACAGAATTTGTGATTTTTGACTTTTGCCATTTTTTTAATTTGGTAGGGCCCAAATAAAGAGATTATGAATGGAAACACTTTCTCACTTAAAGGCAAGTCATGTATCTTTTGTCAGGTGCCTCAGCGTATGACAATATTCTGCAGAATTTGAAATGGATTGCAGTGAAATAAATTTCATAAAATGTATTCATAAAGTTGCATTTAAATTGAAATATACTGAAATGAATCCCATAAGTTCCTAGATGTAAATTCCATCTGTTTCACCATCTTCCTCTGAAGGCCAAAATAATTGGACTAAAACCTAGAGTCTACTCTTCTGTTTCACTTACACCAGTATAACCTAATTGCTATACTATAGTAAGAACCTAAAAGCAACTCCCAGATTTCATATAAAACAGATTTCATCCCCTAAAGCAAACTACTTATAAGACTTACAGTAGCTCTTTTTTTGAATTAGCAGCATGTTGACTAACATTACTGCATTTAAACTATTCTAACATCATAGTCAAAAGGCTTTGGTTTTTAAGTTTGCAAATTGCCATCTTCTCTTCCCTCCTGAAGTGGTAGTCATCTTTTCACTGATCAAAAGGTGATCCAATGACAAAGACAACTTTTTCCATTAGTAAAACTGTTGGTATTAATACTTTTTCTACAATATACTTTCAATAATGCCCCTGAATGAAAATGGCAGCTTTGTCAACAAATTACACCTGGACAAAAATCCTAGTCTTATTGAGATACTTAAGAAATATAAATAAAATCTTTGTTTATACCACCCAGTGGGCGGTATTTTTTATACACATTGGAAAACTTCCCTCTAAGACATACTATTATAACAATATATGGGTAGAAATATCTTACAGGCATCATACCATCTACAAGAACCCAAGTGACCAGGACAAAATTCTGCCCCAGTTTGATCCATAGCAAAACTGTTCCTATATGTGATTTTGGACAGCCAAATGGAGCTAGCTGATGGAAACAAATATTTCAGAACACTCACATGTTTGTGAATTCACACCAAATGCTTGCAGTCCCCAGAAGTTTCAAAAAAGCACAATAAATGAGGAACTGCAAACTAGTTATAAACTAGAACAAACACTGGAGTTAAGACAGCTACTTACACAAGAGCTGCGTTCATTGCATTTGACAGTTCAAAAGGGCCAGAGGTCCTTCATCCCTGCAGGAGCTGTGTGCTCTGCCACACCCCTGCTCCCTACCAGTATGACTGTAGGGGAACTGGTGAGGAGCAAAATCAAGAATCTCATTCTAAGAATCAACACAAGAGGACACCTAAAGCAATGGCAGTGCTAAACTTTAGACAGCAATTTGCCTTCCAAACAAATTGAAACTTATAGTATTACAGACAAGTTCCAGCCACAGAAGAAATGTAATGGTTTGACCAGTTTTTCCATGCTCTATTGACAAGCATACGACAAAACTACAGAACCAAAAAGTTACATTTCCTTTCAAAGACTTATAAAGAATCCAACCAGTAACATTTCCCAACCGCTGGATTTAGAAGTTGGTTATGAATGATGTACAATGCAGATGCAAAACTGCAGTGCACAAAATTAGAGCTTTTCCTAGAAAATCTGTAGATTGAGCATTTAACTCAGACACACCATTGTAGTACATAAAGAAATGCTGCCTGGTGTGTTTATATGACGTAAATATAAATGAGTTTAATCCAATAACAGGAGAAAAACTTAATAACAGCAACTGAGTCACACAAGATTAAGTTTTACCTTCAAAACTTACATTCAAGAACCCTGTGCCAAAGCCACACTCAATTACCAACTAAAAAATTTCTTGAAAAGTATCGTCATACCGTTCTCAATGCAGCAACAGGAGCCTATGTCCACTGATGTCATTAACATTGTATTACAATCTAGGGTATTTTCATTAGGGCAGGGACAGCTGTAATAATTGTATAACCACAGCTTAAGCCTTATTGGCATTTCAGGTGGGTGTGTGTTGATGTTCTTAAAGAAAACAAAAAAAAAACACAACCCACCAACCAAAAAAAAAAAAAAAAAAAAAAACAACCCCCCTTAACTAGTTTTCAGATGGAAACAATGTCTAAGAATTATATGGATAGGAGGATTCTGAGATAACTGGAGGAAACAGAATTTGGCCTAAGGTGTAATTCATAAGCGGCTACAAAATTCTACTTTCAGCTTTCCTGTTACTGCAATGCAAAATACTTATGCAGGGGAAAAACATGCTTATTTCATTGTATAATATGAATTATATGAATAAAGATTTCCATGATTTTCATCTTCACAAAAACACTCCCTTCTGGCTGGTCAGAAAGCAAGCATCTATGAGACACACTTAGAAGTTTTATTTTACATATATATATTCACATATTTTACTCACCTGCTTGGGAAGCTGGAAGAGAGAATTTTTGTAAAATATATCTTTAGCCTGACTCCATGTTCCATCAATGATGATCATAACAGATGGACTAGAAGACATCACAGCAACTTCTTCCAAATTGGTTGCTTCAGCTCCAGGATACAAAATTAGAGTACTGGGATTTCTGCACACTGTTGCTAATTCAGGATACCTTCAATGCACAGACACACAAAATGACAATAATTATTAAAAGTTTTCACGACAAATACATACTTCCAGATATTCCAAGTTACTAACTCCCACTCATCATCTCCAAATTTTACTTAATTTTCAAAAAAAGTCCATTGCTCAGCTACCACTTTCTCTTTTGAACACCTCAAAAGTTGTTGTTTCTCCCTCAGCTCCTAAGGGTGGAGGGGAACCACCCACAAAAGTAATCAATGAAAGCTTGATAAAGCAATATATCAGGAATATTTTCCGACATTTTAATTATTAAGTCTCTAATGTCTATTTGAACGAAAGACGTTCTGAATTGTTTACCAAAATTTAACATATGGATTCTAGAAAAATTTGTTCAAGCACTTGGCACAAATATACAAGGTTCAAAATGGAATGATTGTAGTATATATAAAGAAAATCAGCAATTCATGGTCCACATCTACAGCATATTTTTGAAAATTTTACCATCTCGATTTTTTTTTTTTAATTAGTACATCTATAGTTACAGTCCCCAAACTTGTACATTCTCTTCTTCCTTCCTGTTGGCTTCTACATTTGACAATGGTACCGGAGGAATAACTACTGTCTATTAAGTGTTCACTTAATGTACATGGAAATTCCTGAAGTTTTTGCAGGACACCACTGTAAGTTAGTTTATAAAAATCTACGAAAGGCATTGTCATTTAAGTAGTATTGGAAGCCTCAAAAACCACCTTGTCAAGCAGGCCAATAAGGAAGAATCTGAGAAAAAGCTGGCCTTGTAACAAAGACTGCATTACTTGTCTTGAATTAATTTCAGCCGTATCATCATGTACTCTTCAGAATCACTTCAATCAGAAAGCAGGAAGAAATACAAAGCAAGGGCTGGCTGGCTGAAGCATGTGGCAAAGAATAAGAAATTAATTCTGCCTAATACCTCACAGGTCATAAAGAGTAACTGATGCGGTAGGAGGAGAAGAGCAATACAGCGTGTGACTATTTGCGCTCTAAAGTGGAAAGGGAAGCTAGTACAGATTATCAGAGAAAATAAAGTGTATTGGAACGAGGTTAACAATAGCCAGCACACAAAGTGGGCTCTCTGTGCTACCTATCAAGAACCATCAGGTGCAAGAGCATGGACACACACACAGGCAGGATGTAGATATGTAAGTTCACACTGAGAAATTCCTAATGCCACTGTGACCCCACAGCTTTCAAGTCCCAGGAGTTAGGCACCGGCACCACTTCTCCAAAAATCAATCAAGAATCTCCTTTCTTAAGAGAGGAGGGAAAAAAAAAAAAGGTTAGGGAAGAAAGAAATGGTTAATAATGGGTTTTGAGTTAATATATACTAGGTGTACTTCAAATCTGTGCATTCCATTATCACTCTCTGGGGATACATGTGAAAACAATTTTATCAGTGTTATGTTCAGGCAGAATTGCAGTGCCTAAGACATTGAGATCCTGAGTTTAAGACTCATATAGGACCATATGGGAAACATCGGAAATTAAAGAGGAACTGAATTCAGCATACCAGTAAGCCCAGAGCTAGTATTCCAATATTTGACCATCCTCACCCCCCCGAGCAAACAGTCCAGACTGGTTCAACACTACGTGGTTCATTATTGTCAACATTATTTACTAAAAGAAAGTAATGATCTTCTTTTCCAAAATGAACAGTAAAAGAAGTGTAAATAGAGACAGAAAATCTGTAAGGTAAGTGTGGCAAGTAGAATTACATGGAAACTTCTCTGCCCACCATTTTTTTAAACCTTACTTACATTATAGTAATTTGGTATCACTTTAGTTTAACCAAGAGTCATGCTACACAAAATCAAAACCAAGGGGGTATCTCACTACAAGCTACCTAGCACTCAAGGTTTAAATCTAGAAAATTGGTCATTATTTTCAGATATTTGCCTTGAGAACCCAGCTCCTTGAAGAGCAAAGTATCCTGATTCTGGGATAGCAGAGCTTTCAAATCATTAACATCTCTCAGATGATAAAAAAAAAAAATAATAAAATAACGAATTCTTAAAACTAATCCAAAACCATGATTATCAAGCACTACAATCTCATATTATGAACACTACAACTGAAGTCTTAGTCTTTGAAATATGACTCAGTTGAAAGCAATGGTTTTAATGCATACTCATCTAACAATTCCAGTTATTTCAGTTTACAGCAGTTTATATGCAAAAGCAAAGACAGGGGGTGATTCAAACAAATTTTGTAAATTTCTTCCACAAATTTAACCTGGGATTTGAGTGCTGATTATGCATACACTGCCATAAGAACTCAACACTTTACAAATTAGTAGGAGTTGCTGCTATCTTCAGAGTTTACTATCCACAGACTTAATCCTAGAGTGACACTGAGCACATGCAGAGAGCTATTTAGTACTCTTTCTTTTCATAGGAACAGGTTCTCAGAAATACATGCTGTGCAACCCCTTCTAGGTTATGGTTCATACTGACAGTCACAGTCCACATTAGTAGCTTTATCAAAACCTGTTAATTCCATTCATAAAACACACTTGTTCTTCCTTCCTTAGAGTAGCACAGGAGAAATGAGCTAAATATAAACACCTAATGATTTGCTTAGAAAGGGATATAGTTTGTATAAAACAAGTTAAAAAAATTTTTGTACGCGTTTTTATACAGGTACATCCTGTTAATTCCACTGCAGGTTTTGTATTTGCTGGGTTTTAAGGCTTTGCTTCCTGTTAGTTGTTGCTGATACATAGTGCAATTAGACTTTTTCTACTCACATACTACCACCATTAAGAATTTGTCCCCCAAAATAGTTTTTATGTACATCCTTCAGATGCATTAATTAGATCTGTGAAAGGAATTAAAAGTCTCAGTGGAAGAGTGAATTTGTATCTGGTAAATAAAAATGAATCTGTTAACTGAAAAAATTGATATGGCATTTAAAAGGCAAGTACATATCAACAATACCACTTTTCACAGCCACTTAGCAAGAATATGCTTCCGATGTGCTTGCTTTGGGTAAACACTCTAATACAGTATATTTAACCACACATTACTTCTGAAATAGTGCTATAGGACATGATTTTCTCTACAAAAGTCAGATGTTTTTAAAGGAAACTTATAGGAAACAATTGTGAAAAAACAGCCATTTCACTATAATGCTGAAACAGAGCTGTTGCCTGCTGAGCTCTTTTGAAAATCCAATTGACACCCTATGGTACAAGGTTTTTTTTCCCATATAAGCTTTCACTTGTATGCTTAAGCTTACTACAGCATATAAGTAAAAGGACTAGGAATTAGATTTCACCTTCACAGAGCTTTACTTCTAAAAGTAAGTGCATATAATCTTGCTATAAAAACACATTCAAACAATGTTAATATTGATTTTTTTGAATACCAATAATTTATTCTATTGTTTAAGTACAAGAGTGATTTGGGACAAATAGTATGGCTTATTAAAAATACAGGAGACAATTTCATTAAGGCTGATGTTTGTATTCATGATGACTCATGAAATATTAACAGATATATGCCAGTTTTGAAACCCTCCTCAGAGCCACAGCAGAAGCTCCTTGCTCAGTCCTGTGCTACCCAGGAAAATGTATTTTTGCTTTTTATCCCTGCCTAAATTTCCCCTGCAAAACAAGGGTACAGTAAAAAACTCAGTACCAGGTCAGCTGGCAGTCCAGACTGTCTTGTTTAGAATGATTAGACAGAAATTTCAGGCCACACACCAGATCACTGCACTGGGAGGCAGATAAGCAACTTCTTAGCAAGACACATCTCTGGTCTCAAGTCCTCCAAACTGCTAAAAGCTGAGAGAGGAATTGGGTAAGTCTCATCAGGCTTGTAGCCACTCTTCTGTGAGCCCTGTCCTTTGGGGTGGTTTTTGTTTGTTTGTTACTTTTAAATTCAAGCTGCTTTTATTTAAATTCAGGAAAACAATTCTGTAGTCCAGCTAGACTTGCATATGTGGGGGAATTAAACCCAACAGAAACACAGAGGTAAATTAGGAGCAGAAGGGCAAGTTAGGATAAGCACAAGGACAAGCTAGGAGCACAAGCACAAACAGTCACACCAGAATAAGCTAGTCCAAGCTGAAGGACTGAAGGAACAGCTGAGTACGATGATGGAAGAATTTCACACTGCAGCTACCCACAGTCAGAAACACAGTCTTCTTGCTCTTCTTGCCATCTTGTGACATACAGTAGCACACAGTTTCACAGCATTTGTAACTTCGAACATGGCAAAAATACAACGTGCCTGTCATCAAGACAAGTAGCTTTGGCAGTGCAGATGCAGAATGAGGGGGGGATGTTTGTGCTGGGGGCAGCAGTTGCTGTAGACAAGATAGCTGGACCACATGCCTCACAACAAAGCTTTGTTTATGAAACGTCTCCACAAATGAGTTTGCCCACTAGTCTATGACAGCCTGGATTCAGGAACAATTCAGTGAAAGACGTTCCTCCTTTAATTGTATCTCTTCTCCCCAGTGTTCAGAACATCGACATTTCCTGCCATCTTTGAAACCCCAACTTTATCTGCAAATACTTGAATGTGACTGTAGCCCAATACCAGCAGACACGTCAAAGACAATGTCAAGGCTGGGTATGGTAAAGGGGCACAGCAGTAAGCCCAAGAGGCTAAACTGGGAGGGGAAGAAAAGGCTGAAGAGCAGTGTGGTTGCTGGTCAGTGTCAGAGACTACTTTAAGTTCCATCTTATTCCACATCATAGTCCTAGATCTTTACATAGCACTTTTGTAGAAGCCTTTTTTAGTGTGAAGCATGACTCACTTCAGAGAATTAAGGGGGACTTTAATTTTACCTTCCATTTCAGTCAGAACAGACATGCTGATGGCAGACTCTTTGAAGCCACTAAATTTCAAGAGGAGACTGAGAAGCCGAATTTCTAAACAACAAATACTTTTCTTCTTACAGATCAGAGGTCGACTTTTAAAGAATTCACAACTCTGTGTCAGTCAGGGCAAAAAAGAAAGCTAATGTTGCTACATGTGAAAA